CCCGGGATTGAGTCCCGCATCGGGCTCCCTGCTCGGCAGGGAGTCTGCTTCTCCCTCTGCCCCTCCCCCCTTCTCATGTGCTCTCTCTCATTCTCTCTCTCAAATAAATAAATAAAATCTTTAAAAAAAAAAAAAAGATTGTTTAATAATTTAAAGTCTATTACTGCCCTATTGAAGTATTTATGCAACTTAAAGATGACAAGTTACTCCACTAACAAAAAATTTTGATCCAATCTGATACACCACATATATGTATTCCCACAGAAAATTCCAAACATACATTAAACACTGGCTTCTTTTAACAAAAGTCCCATAAGTTTTCTGCCATGACCCAGTTTTCAATACCACAAAGGAAAATCTAAATTAGAGTTTAGCAGCAAACAAATCCTACACTGACAATGTAAAAGGATTGTCATATTGGCTTAAACTAAGTCAGCCATATTTTTTTTTCACTGCCAAGTGACAGGTAAATCATGAAATTAAAAAAAAAATACTCACTAATTGAATGTTAATCATAATCATCCTTTATCCCCTAGTCTTGAACATCTTTTTTGCCTTTATCAGAAAACAGTGCCCCAAAGACTTCAGCTATTAGCAGTTGTTGGCAAAGGAATAGGTATGCTAGCAAAAAATACCTATTTTCTAATTAAGATTGTTTGGGTATTGCTGGGTTTATGAAAAGCTTTACATAATATAGCTCTTTACAATGACACTAACTCATTAATAAAACTTCTTACCTTTCACGAGACCTAGATCTTGAGTGACTTCTGCCTCTTGATGACTTTCTTTCTTTGCGTTTATGTCTGTCCTCTCCATTTTCAGATGAATTTAGTCGCTCTCTTCCTTTATCAGAAGAATGATCTTTGTCATTATGTTCCTCAGACTTGTGTTTCTTAGATGATTTATCTTTGGATTCATGTCTTCTTGCCTGTTTTAAGAAGAAGTTGGTTCTTTCAGGAAAATAGTGCAACAAAGAGAGTTAGTATGGGTATCAGTAGACAAAAATGTTGTGATGCAACATTAGTAACCTTAGGAGTGTGTGGCAAATAAAAAAAATGATCTAGTTTCACATCACCCAAATGTTGCAGATGAATATTACTAATCTTATTGTCTTTATAAATCCCCCAAATGCAGTTTCCTCCCCATATTAACAATTAAAACAATGATTTTCAATGTTGAAATAATATTGAAAAACCATTATTATCAGAAAAAAGAGGAATCCCTGATGTTTCTTTTATCTAAAGGAGTAAGGGAAGTACACATGTATCAAAACTTTCAAAAATTTCCAACAGACCTTTTAGAGAAACAGATCACGTATACATATACACATCAACTTCTGTAACCAGAGTACATATTATTTTAGGTTTAAAAACTTAACAATAGTGAAGATGATCAGGACACAAAGAAATGCACCAGAAAACGCATTTCAATTAGGTTGCTAAATAAGATTATCTTACTAATTATTAGTATTTTCTGCAATTTTAAATTACTTTACGCAGAGTTGAAGTGTCCTTTTTATAGCTATACTGCCACATCCTCTCTAAAAGACGGCTCTTGATTTGTCTCCCAATGTCTAAACTGTGAAGCAATCACTTTTCATCTTGCAATATCCCAACGGGCAGACGTTCTATTACATTTCATGTACCTAGGGTAGAAAATGGCAACCGTATCTGTTTTAATTTTTATGAAATCAAACTAGGCATAACATAATTAATCCCTATACCATTATACAATAATACTTCCCCCATACTCTGAAAGATAAAAAACAAGCTTTCTGCTTTCACAACATATGCAGAGACTGAGCTAAAATTAATTGCACGATCAAGTCTCCATCCTACTCTCACATACCAAATTAGGAAATGATAAACATTAGATCTCCTCACATTAAGTTGTCAAATCCATCTTTTAGCTAAGGCTTAAAAACCTGGACATCTCAGAATCACAATTTTAAAGCTGGAAGGAAACTCAGATCCTCTAAACTTCCCTTACTTTAAGTACAACTAAACGAAGATCTAAAGTCACAAAGCTACATGGTAGCAGCTGAACCCAGACCCCATGTTGTTCTTATGCCCAGGCCTCTGCTTTTCTACCACAACAGGACACTTAATTCATGTTTCCCAAAAGGCCATTCCATTTTTCTTTCCACTCAAGATTAACTTTGCTTAAAAACAAAAACTTGGCCAAACATTATGGAACATGCATGATATATCTGAAAAGAATCATAGTATGTTATTTAATATTTTGCAGAAAAATAAAGAGACCTGGAGACACAGCTAAATTTTAGTCTCATTGCCAGTTCTCTGTAATATGAGCTTATAAGAGTATTTCCTTGATTTTGCCATATAGTGGCAAACTGGAAAAGCTTTAAGTGGTTCAACTTCCAAAGGTTTTAGAGTTTATTTCAAACCAGTTTTCCAAACATAACATTACTATTAATTAAAAAAAAAAAAGACATTAAAACCCTTAACTGATTTAAGATATACTTAAGGGAAATAGGAGTTTGAATGACTAATAGTTACCTTATCATGAAGTAGGCTTATTATTTTGCTATCTGAGTCTGCAGCGTCTTCAGTTCAGTCTCTTCGCGCATTAGCACGCTGAGTATGATTTATTATAGAAATGTTATCATGTGAGCTAAACAAAATAGTCATTTTCACAAAAACTCTCCTAAATTAAAAGTTTAACAGAGCTTCCATTAGGGGAAGAGGTGAAGTCCCTGCCCACATTTTTTTAGGAGTCCCTTGCCCAGCCCCCACAAGACTCTTCTCCTCCCTTTTTGGCTCCTACTTCTGTTCTTCCTTGTTGGCTCATTCCTTGTCTTCTCAGGTGGGCGAACAAGTTAACTCCTGCTTTTCTTTCATACAGCTGCTTTCTTTTTCCTCAAGTTTTGCTGTCACCGCCACCTTTCCAGCTGTCCCTCACAGACACTTTTATTTCCAAATTCAATACTATTCTTAGGGAAACTGAGCTGGTTTTCTAATGAGAAGAGGACTCTCGTTATCTTCCATAAAGAAAAAGCCCAGGTATCTAGGATATTCCTACTTAAAGATGATTGCTATATGAAAATCCTGAGCAGTTGTCAGGTATAAGGAGACTCGGGACCTCAAATTAATGGAAGCTCTGTGTGACAGGCCTAAAAAAACCAATTATAATCTTCATATGAAATTTTTATTGTGAATATTTTCACAACATAATAAAATTAATAGTTTTTGAATGAACTTTTCATATAAACAACTATCTTCTTGAAAAATGATGAATCCATATCATGCTTATTTTATAACCCAATTAACCTTTTAAATTTCAAGTTTTGGTACTTACCTTGATAATATCATATATTCACACAAACATTTCTACCAGATACTTTACAAGAATTTTAAAGTGCCTATTCACTACAAAGTGTTAATTACCTCTTTGCTTCTGCTCCGGCTCCTGTGTTTTCTTCCTTCATTATCTGTAAATACATACAAAAATTCACCATAAACAAGATACAGAAACATCTTAAACACAAATTCCAATACTCAAAAGACAATTTCCAATCCATTTTACTAAATTAAAATTCTACTTATATCTTCTAAAGACTATTTTTTTGGCAAGGTGGGATTATTCTACTTAATACCACTGTATATATTTGAAACAAATCAAGCAATCTGAAAACCAGAATGTAACTGAGTGTAAGCAAAACAAACAAAAACCCCCAAAAAATCCTCCACGACAAATCAAAAACATATATACTGTCTTTCAGTTTTGTCACAGATTCTTAATTCACAAAACAGTGTCTAGCCCATTTTGTTTTGCATTGCATAAAAAATTTATAAAGGGGCTTATTAGAGGTAAATAAGAACAAAACAAGAATGCATGAGAATAAACAGTTTGAACTGTATTTAGCATAAGTAGTCAACAGGCTGCTATAGTTTAGAAATTTCTATTCAAAAGTGATTTTATACTGTACATTTTCAAATATATACATAAATTTACATTTTAACTACTTTATAGATAATTTATCTGTGGGCATTAAGCATAAATAACTGGAGCCCAGATCTTAAAAAAAGAAAACTCTTAACTCATTAGTATTCTACTTCTCAGTTAACCTCTTCATTAAATCGCAATACTAATTTAAAAAATATACAGCAAAACATCCTACTTTCTATACCACATCAGTCTAATTTTTTTTCAAGTAAATGAGTAAGAAATCTCAAAACGCCAAAACCTCTCTTCAGAAATATTTTAACATTAAGTTAAATGAAAAACAAGGTTAAAAATGGTCTTGTAACTTATATCAAAAAGCACATTAAATAAGCTCAGAACACCACTGCCCAGACACAGCTTTCAAAATACTTTACCAATGTTGAAAGACTGAAATTTAAACATCTCAGGGTTAAATAATGACTGTGACACAAACTTAAACATGTATTTTGGCCTTTGGCCAAGTCATAAAATTTCTGCATGAGGACATTTTTCTCATAACTGAAAAAATCTCCAGAAAATTACCAATGTACTTCCATTATTCATTTCTCAACTGGGAAGAACATGTATTAATTATATCAAAAACTAAATCTATGTCTTATACACACATCTACACAGATAGTGGTAATTACAGTTTCCAATAATTCATACCTGACTTTCGTTTTCTTTCTCTTGACCTTGATCGTGATCTTGAATAATGATGTTTTGAGGCTCTAGGAGAAATAGATACATCTGACTGCTCTTTTTTCTTATCTCTATCTGGGGATGTCTTTTCTGGGGCTAGTCCATCTCGCTCTGTATCACTAGCCTAAAAGTTTAAAGAGAAATGATTATTAGGTTCTTAATTACATTTAAAATGTTTCTAATTTCTTAAAAGAGAAGGAGGGAAGAGAATCATCCTGGAGTTTTACAAGATTAAAAAAAATCAATAAATGAGAATGGCCAATTTCTAAGTAGCTAATTATCTGTACCTGATCAGTCCAAATAAATTGAAATGACTAACTCAGTAACAAAGAGACATATGTAATTAGACTGATGTCTTTAACTTTTAAAAATCATTATTTTCATAACTTTCAAAACAATGGGGGAAGGGGAAGAGTAGGGGTTCCAAGTATTTCCAATAAACATTCAAGCAGAGAAAATGCTGTCCATTTTAGATTTGCGAAGTCATTTACCTGACTTTACCAATACTTTTATTTTAAATTAGAATACATTAAAAAGGCATTTAAAATGAACTAGTAAAATTTAAAGAGACTTAAGTCTGTAAAATCTAAGAACAGCAGAGAATGCTTCTAGATTATAAAAGAATAAGCAAAATTAACTTACCTATCTGAGAACCCAATCTTAATTTCATTAACCCTCTTTAATGAAAACAGCCCCTTGGCACAGTGCTGCTGCAAAATATGGTCTGCCTCTCCTCACATATGCTCTGGGCTATGGAAACATTAAGTCGTTTCTGCTTTAAAGCATTTTATAAATCTTGACAATGCAAATTTTGTAAAAAATAATCAAGTATACACCCTCTTTCCCAAGAGTCCTGATTTACTTAAAAGGAGGTTCCTTCATCTAAATATCAGTTCCCTGTTTTCCCATTTACTTGCTCATAACTGAGTACTCAGCACAGCAATCAATCAACAATTGAAGAAATGAATTCCTGTTACTAGTTCTCAATTAAAAAAAAGTATTTCGGTGGCTCTGTTGAACGGTGTGGCCCAAATTACAAACAGGAGTATCACACAAAGAAAGACACTGATTTAAATGAGTCATAGAAAAAAGCTTTGAGAAGCTAAAACCTGAATGTTCCCAAGTCAGATTTTGATAAAAGGTAGGGGAAACAATTTCAGTAGTATGTGGAAGGTAGACTACTTGGCCCTTGACTTAAGAAAGGTTTTCACATTTTTGAAAGGATTATTAAACAAGGAATGGGCCAGAGACTATATGTGATCCACAATGCCTAAAATATTTATTACCATGCTGTTTACCAAAAAATCTGGATTGGATAAATAGGGATTTTCAGGAGGAATAATATGACATCAAACTCCTTCCCTTAAGAAAATCAGTCCAGAAAACAAATGCCAAGGGAACTATTTAGGGAGTAATTTAACAAATGAAGTGTGAGAGATTACATTACTTCAGTAACTATTTACTGAGAGTCACAAATGTGCAAAACTCAATGCTAGACTCAAAGAATAAATTGATTATAAAAGAGATTTACACACTTAGCTAGGATGAAATACATAAATGTGTTAAACCTCTAACAATGGTAAAAAAACAAAATAAAACAACCAAGCACAAAGGAAGCAACTAATTACTGGAGAGACTCTCATGTGACCACACATTCCTTCTCGTTTTCTATGTATGGGTGATTTCTGGAATCATAAAATTTTTGTGATGAAAGCTTTCATCACAGAAACAAGTTCAACTTTCTGATCTTACAAAGGAGATCCAGCAACATTACCTGCCTCTCCCAGGATGGTACTCTAGCTCTTTGCTGTCTACTATCAAATAAATGATGCTGTATCACACACACAATTAAGGATAATTTAAGATTTTCACAACACCGGTCATTTTTTAATTCTCGTTCTCATCATCATCACTGTTACGTACTTCACATGTCTGTGATGTTGTGAAGTGCTGGTAGAGCTTACATTTGGTAAAATAAAATTACAAAACTGAAGCTCTGCTATCACTTCTCGCAGTGCATGCGACTTCTCTGCCAAAACCAGCATTCCTGAATCACTGGCACATCTCATTCACTTTTCCAGAGATCATGATGAGAACTGAAAAAAACCTTCCATGGAAAAAGCATCTAGACCAAGCAGTACAAGTTTTCAGTCAATGGTTTATTTACATGCTTAAAATCGCAGAAGCCTGGCATTAGGGAAGTCAAATGCCCTTTGCTTAAAGGCAGGCATCCTGCAATACAAGATAGTAACTTACACCAAACAGCCATTTTCACCTGTAAAATATACTGCAGAAAAAAAAAAAAGCATCCTATCACTAAACAGACTACAAGTGATAGGTGGCCACTTCTCCCATACAAAACTTTTATTTCCATGAGGCTATTTTATTGTGGTATAATGAAAAGTATCCAAAAAATCAATTGAATAAAATTTCTCTGAAAATTTGTGAGTTTTATTTCAATTTATCAGGGATGTACATACTACTAAGTCTTAAATGCTAACTGCAAAACTGTCTTCTACTCCAGCACCTGCTTTTTTAGGCCACCACTGTTACCATTTACATCTTGTTTAAAACGCTAATGATTCTCAAGACATAGTACACAAATCTTTTTCCAGTGCAAAGAAGGTACACTGGATTTAGTACTAGGTCACTTCTCCAGGGGACTGTGTCTTTTTATTGAAGGAGGCACTGAAGGACCAAATGTCTGAACTGACTTCATTTTTTAAAATATTTGAGCCCAAGTAAAACAACGCTATTCTTTAAAGCACATTAGAAGGCCCAAAACACTATTTAAACAAAGGAAAACATTACATCGATTAGTTGCACAAACACCAAATAGCCTTCCAACTGTTTGAAACCTTATAAAAAATCAGTTCTTAATTCAATTAGGTATCAGGGGAGGGGAGTGCAGAAACCATCCTAATTCCAGATACCCCAATTTTTAGCAAGGGCAAACTACAAATTTTTCGGTATATTTATAGTCTTACTTATTTTTGAAGATAAGTAAATAGAACTTTCTAGTCAGTGGAAAGGAATACAAGATGCTTGCATTTCTCTTTTAACACGGTTAAGGAAAATTAAGTAATCACAATAATGTGATCCACCAGAATTGCACATCTTATACCCAGAGCAGGTTTTTTAAAGAACTATAGTGCTTATTTAAAATTAAATGGGTCAAAGAAGGGTTCTTAAATTTAAGAAACAACGCCAATGAGAAGGCTTTATTTTAATGCTTCTCAAAGACTTCAAAATGATTACATCACGAGCCGCTTCGGAAAGGGAACGACAATCGGAATTCGTAGTTCCAAAACCTTCTTGTAATTAAGTCGATTTCTTTACTCCCTTTGACCAAGCAACACCTTCCTCAGCTCTGTACTAAGGATTAAACTAAGGTTTTCACCGATAAAACACTAATTAAAATTATGCAACCAGAATTTTACTGAGCGTAAGCAAAAAACAAAAACAAAACAAAAAAAACGTTACAAGACGATTCTCTTCTCCCATTCTACGCCTTACAGACAACGCCTTTCTAACCCAATACTTTTCAAAGACCCCCGTCCCTTTTTTCCCTTCCCCAACCCTACCCCAAAGCGAACATAAATTCCCAAGCCCTAATGAAACTCAATGTAAACGACTAATAAGAATGAGTAAGCTAAACTGGAAGCCGGTCTGTGGGTCCAACGGAATACAGAACTAGGAAAGAGATGAGGAAAGTTCTGGAAAAAAAAAAAAAAGACACTCCCTGCGGCTCCCCACCCCCACCGACACCGCCTCATTTCCCCCTCCCTAAAGCAGGCAGCCATGATGGCGGGCGCAGAAGAAGGCCGCGGCGCCATTTTGTCCACACACACACGCGCGGACAACAGCTCTGAGAGCCGTTTCCCCACTCTTTGGAAAGCAGCAGAAAAATATCCCTGGTTTTAAACTCAGAGTCGGCACCTACCGCCATAGTCCAGAGTTCTAGCCGCTAGGGCGGCGCCTCCACTTGCCACTCTCAACAGTACCGGCCGCCCCGACGCTTCGCCACAGACTAAAACGCTCGCGCGAGAGACCCGGATGGCACAAAGAGGATGAGGCCCGGTGCGTCGCACGGCTTGCTGGGAAAAAAAAAGGTGGTGATAAGAGTCTCTATAGCAACGCGATTCGAGGAGGTGATTGGTTGTTCTTTTGAAGGGGGCGTGTAAAGCCAGGGAGGAGGGCGGGGCCAAGAATACACCCTAGATTGCGTAGCCTGGAAATCGGAACGGGTGGAATTTAGGGTGGGGCGACCTCCTATTTCGATTGTAAAGCAATTTTGGCCTCCTCCGGCCGCCGTAAAGGGGGTTGGGCTTGGTATTCTCCCGCCAACTTAAACCCGTGGGCTAGACCCTGAAGAGATTAGGGACAGCTGTAGGTGGCAGAAAGAGGGGCGATAAATTTGAGTGTTCTTCTTTAGTTTCTTCAGTTGCAGGTGAGGAGTGGGAAACGCGTTGCTGTAGAGACCTGGGGGTGGGTTCAGGTCGAAGTAACAGCGGCCTCAGCTCAATTCGGGTGTTTTCCCATTAGGACGCTGGCGGGAGAGAGTTTGAAGTCGGTTCTTGCTGGTCCGTTGTCCAGCTGGGAGCGTTTGTGCATGGGGGCTTAACTGACACTTTCATTTCGTTTAATTCGCTAATAGGTTCTCCACCCAGCAGCGCGACTGATCTCAAATCGTTAATCAAGTCATGTCACTCGTCTCCTTGGTGCCCCTGTATTACCGAGCATAAAAATCCAATCTTGAAGTCGGGAATTCGTTTAGCTTCTGCACTGTTCCATTTTTACTATGGCCTGGCAGCCGCCCCAGACTCATTCCAGCCTCCGAGCCTTTGCACTCGGCCTGCATCTCTGTTCTCCCCGAGCTTTGCAGAGTTGGCTTCTTGCTCTTGGGATCTCAGCTCTGATGTCCTCTCTTTCCTTTACCTAACAGGTTCTTCTTAGGCGACCTCCACCCCCCCCCCACCTGAGCATCGTTTAGTTCAAAACCTTTGGCACTGTTTGTAATTGTACACGTATTTATTTATTTTTGTAGGGAGGCAGTGTAACAGTTAATAGGCGTGAATTTCTGTGTTATCTAACTACATCATTTACTCGCTTTAGGCCACCTTGGCCATTTATTTAATCCCTGGCTCTTGTCTTTGCTGTAAAATGGGTTGTTGTGCAGATTAAATGAGTAAAGCATTCAAAACTATCTTGCATACTCAATACATTTTAACTATTTAATTTTTCCTTCGTAGACGAATATAGACTTCATAATGATTGAAGGCCTTTTCTGTCTTCCGGGCTGTATTCCAGCTCTAGAACAGTCCCTGACACAAAGTAGGCATCCAAAACATTTGTTGAATGAGTGACTGTGACTGCCCTGGAAGGCTGATAGTATTTCTCTATTTTTTTTCAGATGTGGGACACAGAGACCCATAAAAGTATTCACCCCAACCTGTCTCTCCTGTCTTAATCTCCTTCCAACTCCCACCCAAACACCAGCCACTAGAACTCTTGTCTGTTCTAACATGCTTTATTTTGTACCCTTGCTCACACTCTTGGTAAGAACTCTTTTCCTGTATTTAAAAACCTCCTATGACCATAGCCTAAACGTTACCTGCTTCCACCAATGAAAATAATAAATTACCTAACACTTAATATTGAGTGCTTGCCATGAACCAAGCATTGTTGCATGAATAGTTAAAACTCATAACTTTTGCAGGTACAACTATGTTCCTATTACAGAGAATTAAGGAACAGAAGGATTACATTGCTTCCTCAAGGACAACTGATTGTAAATGAAAAAGCACCTTCCCTATGCTGTATGTTCCATAAAATTTAAAACATATTTCTGCTAGCGCTTATCAAAACAGTTTAATTATTTGGTTGCTATTCCCCACCAGTGATTGATCCAGGGATTGTTTTTCATCTTAGTATTCTATTCCCACTCACAGCACACTTAAATGAGTTACATAAGTCTTTACTGATGAGATGTTCAAGTGACTCTCCTAGGGTTACAGGTATACTCTTTGGTTCAGTCAGAAACAATCCAATTTTTCCCCTTTACTCTTATTATTTTCATTTACTGTATGATACAGGAAACATTAATGGACTTTTTTTAAAGTTCATTTGGAACCTTAACCATCCTAAGATATCCCAGATAGTCTGACTTTAGAGCTTCTGCTATTTATTGCTATACTACTAAAAGGTTTATTTCAAATGAAAACTTGTTATAATTTCAAGCTAGGCGCACAAAATACTGGAAGCTGTAGGATACATTGGTGAGATCAGATTTGTCTGTGTTCCTAGACGGATATATTGTTCTCTGATGATGATCATAGCTCTAGTTCCATTTATCTTATTGGTCTGAAGTATCTAGTGACTACAGAAATAACACAAAAGTCTTGATTGATTGATGTGTGTGTTATATATATGTGTGTGTGTGTGTGTTTATTAAAGCTTTTCATTTTCCAAGGAACTGTATTTTTGCAGCAATATAATTTGTTCTCTAATTTTACATGTTGTCACAGGGAAAGCAGTGGTTCCTGGCTCAGGAAGACAATCTCAGAAACATGTGGAATGAGATTGAACTGTTGACAAGTGATGATACAGGAAGTGGGTACCTAAGTGTTGGTTCAAGAAAAGAACACGGAACTGCTTTATATCAAGTTGATTTGCTAGCAAAGATCTCCTCTGAAAAGGTAATGATTATGGTACTGTTTTCATTTATAACACTTTTGCTGCGGGCTTAGTAGGCCCAGTAGTCACATGGTAGATGTTCTATAAATGCATATAGCATTTCTCAGGGAATCGAGGTTCATTCTCAGATTACTGGAAATTTCCATCTGAATTCTCCCTTCATTGTCTTAAGATCACTATTTCTGAAATTGAACATTTCATAGCTCTTCTTGACATTTGGACAAATAGAATATAAATAAAGCGAAACAGAATACCCACCACCAGCTTAGGAAATAAAACATTATCAATAGATTTGAAGCCCCTGGGGTCCCTTCCCAATCCCATGCTCCCCCTGTACTCCATCCCTGAGTTAAGCATTCTGCTGAGGTTGACATTTCTCCTTTCCATGCATTTCATTCCACATATTAATTTTCTTCTTTTAACAATAATTCTACCAGGGCATCTGGGTGGCTCAGATGGTTAAGCGTCTGCCCTCAGCTCAGGCCATGATCCCAGGGTCCTGGGATCAAGCCCCACATCGGGCTCCCTGCTCAGCGGGGGGCCTGCTTCTCCCCCTCCCTCTGCTTCTCCCCCTGCTCATGTTCTCTCTCTCTGTATCTCTGTGTCTCGAATAAATAAATAAAAAAAAAAAATCTTTAAAAAAAAATAATAATTCTACCATTCTCAGTCCAGGCTTGAAACCTTATTTTTTGCATCCTGTAGAAAATATTACAGGTAGTTTTTTTATCTTACAGTTTCTTTTTCAGTAATTTGCTTCTGATAAAGTAATTTTTGTAAACAAAGGGTTTTTTTGTAAAGAAAGTATGTCTGATTTTTATTCACAGTATTATAGCCCAGGATCCCTTCACTTCCCTTAGTAAGTCAATACAGTATTTAATCCTCTAATTAAGAAAAAAAGGTTTAAATGAAAAGAAGAAACAAACTATTAGAGACAAAATTGTATCTTCTAGGGCTTGAAAGGAAGGGCCTCTTCTGGGGACCTTATTCATAAAAGACTTCAAATGTAGGCTTTTTGGCTTTTTTTTCAAGTGAGGTTCTATATGTATTCAGAGAAACTGGCTGATAGGATTTAAAAAAAAGAAATAGACCATTCTTTACACAGCTTGCATACTGTTGTTTAACTATACTGCCTTTAGTAGACTATGAATCACAGAATTTGTAAATGTTCATTATGAGTAGTATAAATATATTATTTTCTTTGGTATTAAATTGTTTACTTGTTAAAAGCAAAAATTTTGAAGTATACTAAAAGTTCTGTAATGAGAAAGTGGCATTTATATTTTAGTATTATCAGGAGCCTCAAAACATGGAAGTAGTCCAGGCCTCTCTTGAGCTCTGAGGACTCCTGTTGAAAAATAATAGTATGTGTGTATTGAGCTTCAAATTCAGCTAGGATGGGGCACCTGGGTGGCTCAGTCGGTTAAGCATCTGCCTTTGGCTCAGGTCATAATCCCGGGGTCCTGGGATCGAGTCCCACATCGGGCTCCCTGCTCAGCAGGGATCCTGCTTCTCCCTTTGCCTCTGCCTCTCTCCATATGTCTCTCATGAATAAATAAATAAAATCTTTAAAAAAAACAAAAACAACAAATTCAGCTAGGAACTAAAATTTCATCTGTTATTAGCTTGGAGTATCTCTCATCACTCTATGTCCAAAACCCTATGCTAACCTCTTAGAATAGAAGGTAACCTGGGGGGGCACCTGGGTGGCTCAGTCGTTAAGCGTCTTCCTTCGGCTCAGGTCATGATCCCGGGGTCCTGGTATCGAGCCCCGCATCGGGCTCCCTGCTCGGCGGGAAGCCTGATTCTCCCTCTCCCACTCCCCCGTCTTGTGTTCCTCTCTCATTGTCTCTCTCTGTCAAATAAATAAATAAAAT